CATTCCTGCAGCTTTCAGGTCCAGGGTGTTTTCTTGGGGAGGCTCCTCCTGGCCCTCCTCTCCAGCCTGGAGTGAGGAGATGGGTTCCCTTCACTGCTCCCACTGCGCCATTGGGTGGATGAGCAGGAGGGGGACCTCGGGCACACTGCCCTAGCCCTTGTCACAGTGATGTGCAGCTCATCGGACTGGATGCCTTTGCCTAGACCTTAGCCTCGTCGCTTCCCTGGGAGATCAGCTTGTGCTAGTGCTGAGGGCACTTCCAGTACTTGGAAACCACGATAAGCAGAAGGAAGCCAAGAGCGCCAAAATGAGAGCGATGGAGGACAAGAAAGCGACAGCTTGAGGGACGAATAGCAGAGAGGAGCTATTTACCTCCTGGCCACTGGCTCAAGCCCGTTGAGCAGCACAGCTGCCAGCCCGTATGGGAGCTGCCCTTGTGACTTGGACCATAATGAAAGAACCTGGATATTTCCACCCTTGGCAAGGCTGCTTAAAGGCTAGAGCCTGGCCTAGACCTTAACCTTGTCTGAAAATGGGGTCAGGAAAGCAGCTGGGCCAGGCAGGAGGCCAGGAGGGAGATGACAGCTCAGGCATTGGCAAAGAAAAGGCGACTGCTGAGGAGAGAGGTGGCAGAAGCCCTTGAAGAAAGGGGAGAAATGAGAAAATGAGTTGATAAGGGACATGGGGTGAAAAACATTGCTGTGGGTTGAATGCAGTGGGAAAGTGAGCTCTGTTCCCATGCTGGAGGATGCTTTCTGAGATGGGGGATGTGCTGTGGGGTGGGTCTCCTGCCCCACCACTCAGCTTGAGCAAAGGGTACCAGTATCCAGAGGTGAGAGCCTGGTACAGCCCTCATGATTGCTCAGTTTGCCCTAAAAACATGTCCTCACTGTCACACGAGAACCACGGAGGCGGTGCCAGGGCTGCATTCATCCTCCAGAGGAGAATCTGGGGTAGTGGGTTAGATGGAAGCGATTGCATCTGACATCTGCCCTGCCACAGATGCCGGCACTGGGAGCCGGCGTGGCAGGGCCCGAGGGAGGCCCAGAGGATCGCATTAACGCAATGCCATTACTGCTGCTCCTGCTGTGTGCTGCCTGGGGATTAAGAAGAGCCAGGGTGAGCTGTGAGTCTGCTTTGGAGCTGCAGCCACAGCAGTACTCGCCATGCTTGGCTGCTGCCTCGCCCCCTGGAAAGGGGGCAGCCCACAGGAATCTGGTACCTCTCCATCTCAGAGGCAGAGAAGCATGGTCAGTGGGACATTTTTAGCTCAATTTCACATGTTCATCAAACCTCTTGCCTCTCAGGATAGCACCATGGTTTTGTGCTGAGTAAATGAGCTACTTCGCCACCAGCAACCCCCCTGAAAGGTTTATCTTGGCAGATGCAGGGAGAGGATAGCTGGCAAGGAGCTTTGCCCAGCCGCCATCCCTTTTAGAAGGAGCTGAGCCCGGCAGAGCCACAGGGTGGTGGTACACGGCACAGCTGGGGTCTGGCTGACTAGAGGTGAGCCCGCTGCTGCCAGTCACCTCCTGGGGTCAGCTCAGGTGGATTTTGACTTGAGCCACCGAGGCGCTGCCCACAGCCCACTCCTATGCGGGTGCTGCATCACTGGGGAAGGGGAGTTTTCACAAGCAACTTTGGCACAACCTGGGCTGGAAATAGCTTGTTGCTGTGTGGCAGCAGTCCAGTGTCCTCCTGTAATGATACCACCCTGTGTCCTCCCCACCTGCCTTGCAGCAGCACGGAGCTGGTGGATATGATAGTGTTGAGGGCACCTCTGAACTGGCCAGCTTCATGTGCTGCTTCTCTGCGCCATCCTTTCAGCTGCTTCCCTCTGAAAACAGACAATACCCAGAGTTTTTTTTCCCCATCCTGCGAATATGATGCGTATTTTGGCATGGAGATGTAATTGGTTTGAGGACTCATGCTCCTCTTCCATCGGGAGCCCCATGCCGTGTGGGTGGCAGGCTGCGCTGCTGCAGCAGGAGCTGGTTTTGCAGGAAAACCCAGATATGGGGCTGATTCAGGCTGGCTTACATTGCCTGGGATGCTGCTCCCTTGGACATCCCCTCTCCCAAACTCCCTGTGCTCTGGGTCCTTCCTTTCCCTTGGTTCTGCACATCTGAGTGTTTGACCCTTGGTGGTTGTTTGCAACATCAAAGCAAAACTTAGTCTAACTTGAAATGCAATTTGCAGAGCCCAGCATCTGTTACGTGAAGATCAAGCAGTCATATATCTGCAGGGCTGTGAGGGGCCGTGGCCTCCTCATCTCACCCTTATAATGTATGTGCTGGGGAAGATGAAATCCTATTAAGCCGCAGCTCCACTTGCAAATTATACCGTGAGAAATCTGCCCCTTAGGATTTCTTATCAAATGAGATGCAGAGCAGCTCTGTGCACGCTAGAAAAATCGGCAAGAGTCTGGTCCAGCCTTGAATAATTCAGTAGCTTGGATAGGACAGGAGTGACGTAGCTCTTCAATGCAGCTACCTCCTAGAAGTCTGCTCCAACCATCTCAGGTCCAACCATCTCTCTTTAACCAAGTTTCCTGCGACAGGTACTTACCACGTCCTTGCTGTTGAGGAGGTGGGAAGCCATCAGGCAGACTTCAGGATCACAAGCAGGATAATGCCATAACATGACCTCTTCTGCGTTGGGGTCTCCTGTCACAATGCAGGTCCCAACTGTTTGGGGAAAAAACTGCAGAGTTTTTCACCATAGTAAGAGCTAAGGGTCTGCAGGCTGTCAGTGTTGTAAAAGAGGCAATGTCTTGGTGAACTAAGGGAGTTGTTTGCTTTCATCCCTGGTTGATGATGAAGAGTTATCCTCATCTTTTGGGATGGCTTTTGGGAAACAAGGTGATGTTCTCAAGGCAGCCTTGTAGCAGAGAGCTGCATCCCAAAAACACTGCCAGCCAGAGCACCATCTGCAGCCCTCAGCACGAGTATGCTGGGATTAGTGGCAACTGGGTGTCCTCACCTGGTTGGGTGGCCCCAACTAGTGGAGTTTGAGGGCACATGGGTTGATGTTCTCTGGAGATATTTGAGCTAGTAAAACTTGAATTGGAGTCTGAATGCGTTTTATGGATTTCTAGTCTTTTGAACCCCAAACCTGGTGACTGCAATACAGACCAGTTTCTCAACACAGCCATGGTACTGGATTCACCTAGCATGGTGTCTTGTCATGCATGGGTACCAGCTGTTTTGGGAAAGTGGTAAACCTTGAAGCCTGGAAGATTTCTGTTGTTTCCAAAGCAAAATTTTGTTGTGTTGCTGTATCTCTCATTGTGCTTCCCCATCTGGTAACGCCAGTCAGAAGCCACCTATGCCACATGGGCAAACCTGGCCATGCCCAGCCATGACCCCGTAGGCTCGCTGGAGTTTGCTTCCTGGCTGCCATAACTCTTGAATATTTGAGCACAGTTCTTGGGTTTGCCTTGAGCAGCTCTGGATGCACAGAATAAGAAATGTGGGTGGCCAGGCTGAGAGGGGCTGGAGCAGGCCAAGGGGGCAGTTGAGGTTTCTTAGGGTTTGAGCTGGGGTGTTTAATGCAGCTTCTGGTGTGTTGTAGACCTTCCCACTGTGGGAGGAGCGAGTTGGACATTACAGCACTGAACCAGCCTCTCTCCTTTCCATGCAGCTCCGAGAGGATCCAGGTGACCCTGAACCTGGATGGAATAGTTCAAGTGCTGGACTGCCACCTTCATGACACATCCATTGGGATGATGACCAGAATTGCAGTCCTGAAATGGCTCTACCACTTGTACATCAAGACGCCTCGTAAGGTAGGTCAGGGACTTGGCATGTGAGCCTACTGCTTCCTCTGTGGGACTGAGCTTGTCTGCTCCCAGCCTGCTCCTTGTCTTTGAATTGGCTGTAATTATATGGTAGCGTTGCAACCAAGTGTCCACCTGCCTTTTCTGAGAAGGCTTTGGCTGCTGGATACCCAGTAGCTTAAGGAAGAAGAGCTCTCCAGCTCAGACAGAAAATGCTGATGAAGTTTTCAGCAGCCTCCCCTGGGGCGAGGTGTCCTGTGGCAGGGATGACCAGGCCTGTAGGACTGATGCCGTCCGTCTTTCTGGTTCTAGATGTTCCGACACACTGACAGCCTCTTCCCCATCTTGCTGCGGACCCTCTCAGATGAGTCAGATGAGGTAGGTGCTGCAGCTGCTGCAGAAGTCTTCCTGAAAGCTTACTGTCTCCATTCTAGCTGGGCTTTGGATTCTTTGGGTTGAAGCAAGGGACTTTGTGAGGCTTGGCCAGTGTTGGCACTGGGGAGTTTAACCCTGTTGGCTAAACTGAAGACGACCCAATGCAGAGTCTGCAGGTAGCTGCCCAGCTGAAAGCCCTGCTGTCTCGGTTAGGCTGGTGTGTTTGGGACCCTCTGTCTGTATAAACCTTCTTCTCCATATCTGAGAGTTGATCTGTCAAAGCCAACTCCTAAAAATCCTTTTTGACTGCCTGGGAAGACAGCTGGGGCTTCAGGTCCCAGAGCTAATGTCTTTCCCATGGGGCTGAGTCGTGGTCAGATCCTTGGTGAGTGGGAGTTCGGGTGCCTTGCAACAGCTCTGTAGAGATGCAAGGGGGATTGTGTCTAGCCAGCACTGCAAAATCCAAGTTGTGAGGCAGTTAAGCAGCATCCACCACTGGCAGGGCAGCATCAGCATTGCCTGGTGGGGCTGCAGTAGATGCCCAGTGGCATCAGGTTGGCTGGGAACCACTTGGCTTGGAAGTGAGCAAAGAAAATCAGGTAGTGATGAGTGAGCCAGCTTGCTCTGCCTTTGCTCTCCTGCATGCACCTTGCCCTCCCAGTGCAGCTCCCAGGCTGCTCCGTTCCTGAGGGACTGCACCATTTTCCCATTTCCTCATCTTTCTTCCTCACCTCTCTTCCCTGATTCCAGTTGTCTCAATTTTGGCATCTTTTTTGTCTTCTCCCCCTCTCTGTTGCACCCTGGCGCATTTCTAGAGCCTGGGTGGAAGGCTGGCAGCTTCAGCAGACAGCTGGTCCAGGCACTGGTAGCACTTCTACCATCAGCTGGATACCTCTTGCCCAGAGCTGCGAATGATCTGGCTGGTTTCTCAGCCCAGACCTTCCTCGTGGAATAAAAATCACATGCTATCTGCTTTGCCTTACATGCTCAGGGCATCAAACCCCAACCCCACAATAACTCCTGTGTGTGAGGGTGTTGTTAAGAGAGGAGGGAAGGGAATCAGTAAGCAAGGGAATGACTTGTGCTTGCAAAGGCAAGCGACTGCCTGGCCATTTTCCATACCCTGCTGCTTACGATGCAAACCTTTCCAAAAGAGTCCCCAAGCACACATCTGCCTTTGCAATGCTCTAGAAAGCCTGCATCTTGCAGATAGTCTCTCCAGCTTGGCAGGAGATTGCAGTGAGTCATGTTGCAATTACACTGCTTATTAATATTTGAAAAAAAGCAGTGAAGAAAGGACCCTGGTGATGCATTTCCTCCATGTGACATAACTGGGAATGGCTCAAAAGTAATTTTAAGCTGATTTATTTAATCCCGTCTTCTATTTATTTAAATGTTTGGAGGTTTGGGGGTTTTTTTTAAGGAAATCCATAGACAAGTCAATCCATTAAACACCACTGCTCAGCTGGCTCCCAACCAGATTTGCTGCTCTCTGCAGAGGAAATAGAAATGACCGAAATAGTAGGGGGTTTTTGAGCTGGGCATTTTTGGGAACAATGATGACAGATTGAGCTAGCTAACCTTCAATGTCAATGCCTATTAGAAAAGGGGAGGCAGGGTGCTCCCTTAGCCATTGCTCCCTGTTTGGTACAGTATTTGTATGCACGTTCACGTTGTCCTGGAGTAGATCAGTATCCTCAGAAGCTCTTGGCTAACGTGCTGGGGATCACCGAGTTAGTGTGATGATGCTAACCTATCAGCTCTCTGATGAGGAAGCATCTCCCTCCCCTTTCCAGGTAGGGCTCCACATATTGTACGGTGTAGCACAAAGTGTACACACATCTTCAGGGGGGTTTTTTGCTGTCTTCATTCTGCGATGCTGCCCTCCCCAAGGGAACCTGGCTGGGCAACAGTGACAGTACCATCTTTCTTCCCAGCAAGGTTGAACATCCTTTTGCAGTGCCTGCGGATCTCCTGGCCCCCATGCACGGTTTGGGGAGGCTAGCTGTTGCTCTCCTGATGCGCCCTGAAGCTGTCCTGGAGCAGTTGTTTCTCGCTAGCTCATCACCAAAGGAGAATCTGGCTTTGGAGGGTCAGTGCTAGTCAGGGCTTTTCATCAGACTGAAAGACCGAGCTCAGGCACCTTATTTTTAAGGTCTGGTCTTGCTGAGCTGCTCCGAGTCTCTGTGCACTTGCCGTAAATAATCAAGCCCAAAGCAAGGAGAGACTTGCGCTGGATGGAGCCAGATCCATGCCCTTTAAGTTGTCATGCCTGTTTTTATCCTTCAAGTAGCACAAGGTGTTGCACCACCTCCACCGTGCTGAACAGGGGCCAGTATCTCATGATGCATCTGTGGTGTCCTGAGTCATCTCTGCCTTCTCTCCTGTTCTCCTTCCTACCCAGTTCTCCTGTGCCAGTAAAGAAATGGTCAAGAGACCTAGTTAAGATTCACAAAAGCAGCACGGAGAAGTTGGAGCAAAGCTGAAGCAAGCAGTTCCCTTTGATATGTAGACAAGTCAGGATACAAGGATTCCTGGCTGTCAGATGCTGTACTGCTGCACTGCGTCACCCCGTGCCAGTTCCCATGCTTCCCTGGTAGGGAGATGCTCCATCCCGCATTGAGACCTGGTTTTGAAGGCAATCTTTAAAAGCCCTGGTTAAAATTTGGTGTGCTTAAAAACTTCCTTGCAGTTCCAAGGCTAACAGGATCCTGCTGGGAATGGGTTTTTCTGCACAAGCTGCTCCTTTCGTCAGTGCAAGTCTTGCAGCCCTGACACCTGGCTGAAGAATTGATGTTAGAAAAGGTGAAAAGTCAAAGCCCAAGTGCCCTTTGGGAGCAGTGGGTTGGACCTTTCCACCCGCAGGTTAAAAGCACAGCTGCTGGAAGGCACTGCTGAAGGGAAGCTGCTCTTCAGGTCATCTCCCTCTGCAAGCTCCTGGTGCAAAGGCAGCTTCTGATGTAGCTGTTCAGTTCCCTGGGTCCTTCCTGGTTGGACCCAGGTGCTGAGTTCAGGTGGATACAACAGGTGGTGAAGGCATCTCTGAGAAAACCATGAAACAGTGATGCTGCTGGGTTTCTTTCTTTGCTTTGTTTTCATTTCTCCAGCTCCGAAATGCAGTTGTTTCTGTACGGCTGAATGTGTTCCTGTTTCCTTATCTGCTCCTCTCAATCTTGCTGGGGGTTGGAAGTTGTGCTGGGACTTTTGTCTGACTCATGCAGGAATGACGCCTGAGGTGGAGCTGGTGTTTGATGTGAAGCAGGATAGACTCCAGCTTCGTCTCAACTCTGCTAATGTGAAAACCTACCTGTGTTTATGCAGTGGCCAGACAAGGCTTTGAATACAACAAGAAGACCCAAATGGTTTCTTAGCTTGCTGTTTGCAGCTGTATCTCCTAGAGGATTCTTAGAAGTCTTCTCCTGGCAGTGGAGAAGAGTTGGTGCCCTTCCCTAGAGAGGGTTAGCTGAGCCTGGACTACCGCTGCCTGTGGAGGTAGTGATGGACTTGAAAGTCTGCATGACGTTCAAGCCAACTTCTTCATGACAAGCTGAAACATTTTGCCCCTTTCTTGGGTTTCCAGTATTAAACTAGGAGAGGAGGAACCCCAGGTATGGTGGTATACTGATCTCCTTTATTGTTATCTCTCTCCTTTATTGCTAACTCCTACACCCCTCCTTCATGTCCTGCTGCAGCACTGCAGGATTTCGACACCCAGGTCTCTGCCCTGCTCTCTGAGCTATGCTGTCACGCTAAATCCTGGCGAACTTCTCCCATCGCGCCCAATTCCCAGTACAATGACTCTGAACAAAAGCTTGTGCCAGAGCGAATAGCTGTCTTAGCGTGGTTTGGTTTGGAGCTTTGCTCTGTTGGTTTTAGAGCCATTGTGCTCCAGCTCCCAGCCTTTAATTCACTACAGCCGGAATATTGTGACCCCATGCAAAGTAGAGGGTGTAAACTAAAGACTGCAAAGAGGAGAACTCTAATGTACGTGTGCCTGGCTTTTATTTATACTTTTTTGGTGGTAAAGCTTCTCTGGAGAGAGACTCAAAGCTACAAGGTACCGAAGCGGGGAGGCTACTTGTTTTCAAGAGGGAAGTTACACTGAGGATGAGCTTAGGACTGAAATGGTGGGGTGTATGGAGAGGTATATAATTTCAGTTGGATGGTGGAAAATGTGGTCAACCCAGCTTGCCATATGTGAAAGCAGCCCCTAAGCAAAGCCTTAAAGCAGGGTGGGGTGATGCTTTCTCCAAGGACTCGAGGCATTGGAAGGGCACTGGGTTGAAAGATAATCTGTGCACTGCATCGTGCAGGAATAGGAATTTTCTTGGGAGGAGCGCAATCCACAGGAAGCTTCTTGGCTCAGCACCAGTTCTGGACCATAATTGCATGGCTGGCATATAGATGCATATACACAGTTTATACGTATACTGAACGTATACTGCCAGTGGTAAACTGACAGTCTGGGCTCAGCATGGTTTCCAGAAGGCACTCACAGCATTCCCACGTTAAACCACACATGAAATCACAGAGCAGACTGAACCCATAGAAAACCTGTCTGCTGTGGAGGTGCAGGCAATCCCTGTCCCGGGGAGCTGGCTCAGGGTGGGTCCAGGATGGGATGAAGGTGTAGGATCCAGGATTTGGGGAGCTTGGCTTTGGCTGCCTGGTTCCCTGGGGTGTGGAGGAGGTGCTGGATGGGAGACAGGGTAGCAAATAAAAGCAAACCCTTTGCTTGTCATAAGCACTGGGACTATGGGTGTTGAATTTGAAGGGGTTGCGAGTATTCAGCCTGCCGCAGCATGGCCTATGGGGATGCTCCGGGGCAGCTCTGCCTTCCTCCATCCCTGTCCTGCTTTTCTTTCCCTTCCCTCTAATGCATGAAGAAATACCTCACTGGCATCCTGCTCTTCGACTGGCATCAGGTGGCATGGGTGTTAAGGTCCCTGTATGCTAATTAAACACATTTAAAGAGGTGCTCTGAGCTGTGACAGTAAGGTTGTGCTCCTGCCAGCTCCAGGTGCTGCAGGCCTGGCCCTTGCATGCCCGCAGCAGGACAAATGGGGGATTTACAAAAGCAGGAGGGAAAACAGGGAGTTTTTGGGTTGCAGCTTGGTTTCAGGTGGTTATGGCCATATTACCAAGTGACCCCACCACTGCCTCTGCTGTATTTGCTGATGCTGTGAGCATGTGTTAGCACAACTTGGCAGGATTTGCCCTGGGGAGGAAAGGAGAAGCCTCCAGCCCCACTGTCTTCCCTCTGCTTCCCATCCCTTCCCAGCCACAGGCCGAAATCTGAAATCCAGTGGCTGTAAAGGGAAAAAAAGGTCTTGGCAAGATCAGAGGATGAAAGTTGCTGTGCCGGGGACCTGAAAAGAGGTCCGGTTAAATTGGTGTGGGAAGATTAATGGTGGGTTTCTTTTCTTTTTCTGTCTTTAAAGCCGGTGGAGGCGGGGGCGACGCAAGTTTGCTTTTCACACCGTGTGTGTATGGGGCTCAGCCAGCCTCACCACTGGCCGCTTTTGACTCCGGGACTGCCTGCCCATGCTCATCTCCCCTCCCCTGGCTACAGCTAAAAGGTTTGGAGGGAGAGGAAAAAAAAAAAACAAAATAAATGAAGCCCTCTGGGGAAGCCTCAGTGCATGTTGCGGCAGCAAGGGGCTGCATTGGAGTGGTGGAGCGGGAGAAAGCGTCCAGCAGCATCCTCGGCTTTCCTGATCCCCACCAGGTCGCTCCTCCACCCCACTGCCTTGCTGATCCTGGTAATGCCGTGGGGCTTTCCACAGCCATCCTGATATTGGTCCCCTTTGAAGAAGTGCTTTGCAGCCCTTAACCTTCTTATTCTCCATCTTGGTGGCATCTTGCTTCAGCTGGATTCCCATCTTCTCCCTGTGGTGAGAATAACCTTGTCCCTGGTGTTGCATACCCCGTTTCATTGCCCTGGGACATCCGAGGCTGCCGGTGAGCATCTCCCTGACATGCACGCCATTTTAATCTTTCACCTTTTTTTTTTTTTTTTTTTTTTAAACTTTTCCATAAATACCAGCAAGGACAGCCTCTTCAGGAGCTCAGTCCCTATCCTTGCCATCATGTGTACCCCAGGAGCTGCTGCTGCAGCCTGCCTTGGTGTCCTGGTAGTCAGCATGTGCTGCAGGGTGCTAAGTCTCACTCCCCAGGGGTCTGCAGCAGATTTGGGGTCACCTCCCCTTCCTCTGCAACAGGCCAGAGCCAGCCCAGTGTTTTGGCCAGAGGCAAAGCCCTCCCCAGGAGCATCAAGGCAATGCTTTGCACACAGGAGGTGTGTCCATCCACCACGTGCTGTTCAGGGGCTGTTTTTCCCCTGCTTTTCCCCTGCGTCACTGATGGCAGAGCTAGTCTCGGCTCTGTTCAACCAGAACAAGCAGCAAATTAACCTGACCTAGATCTGGAGAAGCCAGAGAGACCAACAGTTTTGTGTGCCCTCAAAATCTGTGCTCTGAAAGCAATACAGGGAGAAATCTTGCCTATTCCCAGGGAGGAGAAATAGCTGCTTATTTATAACTGTCTGATAACCTGCTCCTCGTCCCCACACTGTGCAAGGAGCTCACCCTCCTCCATGCTGCTCTTCGTCCCCGTGCTGGGAACGGCTTGCGACATTGGCCGTGTCTCCCCATCCATCATGATGCTGCTTCCCCTGCTCCTTCTAGTTCATGCTAACCAGCCCCATGCTTGCCCAGAGCAGGGGCACAATACCCTACATCTCATCACCACTGGGAAACTTTCACAGAAATCCCTTCTGGGCTGGGAAATGTCCTTGGTGGCTGCTCCTCTGGGCTGGCCCTCAGGATCACTCCTTCGCCCGGCAGCTAGGAATGGCTCTGGCCCTTGTGCTCCTGGTGCTTTCGGGTCCGATGGCCGCTCAGCTCCTGACGGATGGGACCAGCTTGCTCCTGGCGCAGCCGGCCTGTTGCCATGGCAATGGCAGGATATTGCTTTCTTACAGCCTCCTCACTCGCACAAAGCCAGCCGCCGGCTCCAGCTTTGCTTAGTGCAGGGATGTGCAGTGCATACCAAGTGCTCCTGGCTTTCCCCTGTCCCCAGCTGGGAACCCACTATGGAGCGTGCGGGGAAGAAGCAGCAGGAACCGGAGCTCCCTGCCTCTTTCCCACGGCTGGAAAACTCTGGGTCTTCGCAGCCACCTGCTCCTGCTCTTCCTTCAGGTGCTCATGCACCCATCCCTCTTGCTTCTTATTTCCTCCGTTTTTCAATTGCAAAATCCAACACGTACTGGAAAAAGCATTTTTCCACCTCCTGCTTGTGACCTACACAGCTGGCTTGGGGGGACACCCCTTAACTTCTCCAGAGCTTGAGAGGTCCAGCCATGCCCTTGGTGGTGCCAATCATTGCTGCCCAGGCAGCCTGGCCAGAGCATCCCGAGCCCAAGCAGCATCTCAGAGATGGGGCTGGGCACATGGCTCTGGGAGTGTGGATCAAGGATCCAGCCTCACAGGATAAGACATGGCTCTAAATGCTTTGGGAGGCAGTAGGGGTGATTTTTGCCCAGCCCAGGGTCTTGGTCCTGTTTCCTGATGTTGCGGGAGCTGCTGGTGAAGTCTGCGCTGGATGATAGATAGCCCAAGTGTTTGGCTGGATGAGTGGACTCTAGGCGGGGATTGTGGCAGCAGCAAATGCAGCAGGGTGGCAATCACAGGTGGCTGGTTCGTGCGGTACATCAGCCATGTGTTGATACGGCTTTGGCATGGTAGGATACGTCATCCTGGTTGCGTTGGCACGTGTGCAGGGTTTGGTAAAATCAGTAGTATGAACAAGAGTCCCAGCTCTCACCCCCCTGCCAGCCAAACCCTGAGTCTGTTTGCCAGTTTTAGCCAAAGGCAATGAGACTTGGAAACTTCCACAGCTGTGAGAGCTGGAGACCCAAATTAGTGCCTTCCCCAACTCGAAGTCCGTAAGTTCAGCTGAGCCGCATGATTAGCCACCAGAGAATGTACATAGGGCTTCAGGAGACTAGCCATTGTGAGCTCTGCTCAGGGGCATCCTCCCCTTGAAATGAAACATCAGCAGCATTGCTTTATCTGAGCCACCGATGCTTGAAAGCCCTGCAAAGCTGGGCAGAGAGGGAGGAATCTCTTTCTTCTGCCGAGGACTGTAGCATCGCTTTCCTGGAAGAGGATGAAGGCTGGCAATGGCAGTGATGTCCCATGATGGCAACGAGGTCCCATCCTTAACAGCATCATGGAGGTGCCATATTCTTTGGGGACAGCAGCATCATAGCTCCTCATTGCACGAGTTGTTGTTATGTTTTTTCATCCCTGGGGGAGCTGTGCGCTGGGACTTAATCATGTTTATAGGCACAGGGTCTTCCCAAGCGTGCTGGAGCCTTGTGGTGCTAGTGGCAGGCTGCTTCCCCACAACCAGCTCTGCACCGAAGCCTGGACACCTCACTGCCTGCTCAAAGGCTGCTGGGGGCTTATAAATCAGTCCTAATTTAAAAAAAAAAAACCCAACCCAAAACAAAACAAAAAAAAAAAACCACCAGCTTAAGATATCTGCCACAGAGAAACCCAGGGGCTCCTCTTTCTGATTTTCAGGGATTTTTCAAGTTCTGCATGATCAAAAAAAGATGTAATTGGCTTTTTGGGGGGGGATAAGGGGTTTTTTTCATAGCTCAAAAGCTAAAACTCCCATATAACTGCAGCTCCTCTAAAGGATACCTTGTGAGAACGTGCAGGAAGCCTGGGACACTGTGCTGGTGGGCAAGGGGTGGTTGGGGATGCGCTATGCTGAATGCTGGTGGGTTAGACGTGGCAATCGTCCCTTTTTGGTGGCTTTTCTGCTTCGCACAGCCCTGCTATGCTCAGAGCATCTGGGATGGCTGATGAACCATCTAGACCCAAGGACATTTGAATGAAGGGGGACCCAAAATAGCCTGAGACATGAGAAGGGTTGAGGACGAAAAAAAACCCATGTTGTAATAACTTCTCCAGAAATGCTATATATAGACTAATTTGGCAACTTCTGGAAGGAAAGAGCTATGAAATCCGAATGGCAGCTCTGCCTCACCGTCCTGACTGCAGGCAGCTGAGTGTGCTCTCAGATGCTGCCCTGAACTGGGCAAGCTGCGGACAGGCAGGCAGAGTAATGTTTGCCCCCGAGAGCATCCCTGTGCTCTTGCTGGGGTTGTCCCAAATCTGCAGTTATGAAGGGAAGTGGGGAAGCAAAACCCAGACCTCCCTGAAGAGGGAAGAGCAAGCCCTGCTCCTGGTTGCATAAATTAGATTTAATTTCACATGCTCCCTTGGGACTCACAGAGCAGTAACTGGGTTTTTTCTCCCCTTTTCTCTTTCCTGCCCCATCCCCTCTGCAATCATTTGAAATTTCCATTTTGAACTTCACAG